TGTGACCTCGAGACTCTGTCCTCTCCTGGGATAAGCATGTTTTTCAGTCCCAGGCATCTCTGGAGTAAAGGCTGACAGTTCTTTAAAGGAGGGGGAGAAAAGCTGGTGAGAGGAGTGACAGGCTGAAGTACATTTTGGTTTAATAGGATAAAATGGAGCTCAAAGGAAGTAACTCTGTCTGCAAGTCACCTGGTCCAGAACAGGGTTTTAATGTAGTGCCTGCCCACCTATGGTGGTGATATTTTTGCTGGTGGAAAATGCACCACCCCTTTTTGCAATTTTCCTCTCCTCTAACACAACAACATCTCGCATTGTATTATTTTTGCACTAGGGCCTGTGAGATTCAGCTGCTGTCCTGGCAGTGCTGGGAGGCACCAGCACCAGAGGGAGCTGCGGTGGGGCCCCCTGGGCTGCCCCCCTGGGCTGCCCCCCTGGGCTGCCCCCCGGGGCTGCCAGTGCCCAAGAAAGAGACCCAGGAGCAGGGCCCCCCGTAGGGCACACAGAGCAGAGCTTCCCCAGCACATCAGTGGAGATGATTTCAGATTTACAGGCCTGGGTGTTCATTGTGGGACTCTGCTCCAGGGCTGGAAATGTGTCTGCAAACAAAGGTTCTGTTGTCTCGCTGCACCTCTGCTCCATCACTGGCCTGAGGGAGGTGTTGAAGCTGGAGTGAGGGACACTGTGAGGCACCAAGTCTGAGCATCCAGGCACCAGATCCCCACAGCTGGTGGGATGTAAGAGTCTTGGTTGGCCCACTGTGGATTCCAGCAGTGCCTGGCCATGAGATGCTGGACGTCACCCTGCTCAACAGCAGCTCAGGGCACTGCTGCCTACATGGCAAGGAAGGCAGGACCAGGCTGCTGGGAGCCCCCCGAGGAAAGAGCCCTCAGCAGCCCCTCCACTCATCAGCTTGTTCAACCACCTGCCAACTCCAGCAGCTGTTTGTTTACCTCTTCCTCCTCAGACAACCTGCCGTGGTCCCCTCTCATTTTTACCTTTTAAGATCTGTTTTCCTAGTTTCTCAGTGACACTCTTCTTACTGTTCTTGAAGCATCTGCTTTGTCCTGCTCATCCCCATATCAGCTCTTTTCCTTTGCACCTTACTAACCCAGCTGCTCTTTTCTAGAGGACAACAGCCTCATTCCTGTCAGTCTTGCTGGCCGTGTTACGTGGACCTTCTGATTACTTCTGTGAATTCTCAGGTGGGCTCACTAGAGCAGATGCACTCTGCCTCGATGTGTGAAGCCTGACAAAAGTCAGTATCTGAGCTGTTGTCGTGACCTGTCCTGACCTGAGTGGACTTGTGGTTAACGCTGCATTTTGTGCATGTTGCTGGAGCACCTTGTTTCTCTGACCACAGCTGCCTTGTGTCCAGCCTGGGAGCTGCACTGGTGTCCTGCTCCCCCACCAGTCAGATCCTGGCCTTCACATGCCAAGTTGACAGAAGAAGCCCCTTCCTTCAGTTCCCTCTTGCTTCCCTGTGTTGCTGTTTTATCTTTTTCTCTTCCTATGGTCCCAAGCACCCCACATTCTGTCTGCTTTAACTCACTGTCTTAGAACCACAAGCAGCAGACGTGATCAGAGCAAAAGCCAGGTTAGATACCTGCAGGACTGAGCGGCTGCAGTACTGTGAGGGAAAGCCAGAGACCTTTCCACCACAATGTGTCATCTGGTGCTTGCCAGAGTCACTGCCAGTGAAAAGCAGAATGTGCGTTTCACCCCAGCACTGGGTAAGTTACCTTGCCAGCATGAGCTTCCCAAGACAAGGCAAGCTTGTGCTCACCAGCACATCCCTGTTTTCAAAAAACTTCTATACCAGAGTTCAAGGTGAAATATTTTTGACTGAGGCCACTGAGCATCAGAGAATCATATCACATAATCATAGGATGGTTTGGGTTGGAAGGGACCCCAAAGATCATCCAGTCCCAACCCCCCGGCATGGGCAGGGACACCTCCCACCATTCTAGGCTGCTCCAAGCCCCATCCAACCTGCCCTTCAACACCCCCAGGGATGGGGCAGCCACAGCTTCCCTGGGCAACCTGGGCCAGGCTCTCACCACCCTCACAGCCCAGAATTTCTCCCTCACATCTCATCTCCAGCTCCCCTCTTCCAGTTTTAATCCATTCCCTCTCATCCCATCCCTCCCTGCCCTTGTCCCAAGTCCCTCCCCAGCTTTCCTGGAGCCCCTTCAGGCACTGGAAGCTGCTCTAAGGTCTCCCTGGAGCCTTCTCTTCTCCAAGCTCAACACCCCAACTCTCCCAGCCTGTCAAGCTAGGACTCCTGGCTGGCTTAACTCCTGCCACAGCAGCCAAGCACCTTTAAAGAGTCAGGAAAAACTGTGACTTGCTGCTCCTCTGACCACCATCTGAGATGCAAGTGGGCAGCAGAAAGGCACCTGCACCTCATGCTTGGGGCCAGGCCTGCCAGGGCTGGTGCACATCTCCCAGTGCTGGTGGGCTTCCCTGTGCAGAGCCATCCCAGCTGTGCCTTTGCCCAGCACCCATGTTACCTCTGACATGGGCTAGGCTGCTAAATAATGCATCATCAGAGAGCCACGGCATAATGCCTGGAGTAGAAGCACATTGCACTTCTTATTTCCTTGCAGGTTCCTTAGAAAATGAGGTGGCAGAGAATGAGAATGGTGGGATGAGTGGAGTCAGGGAGTCAGAGAAGGTTTCTGTGGGGAATCTCACCAGGGCATGCTGCCCTGGTGGCCATCAGAACGAGGTTCTTCTGGCCTTACATCTGAAGAGCCACTGCCTTACTTCTTTTATGGCACATGACACACCACACCTCACAGCCTGACAGCTCACAGCCACCTCTCAGTAGATGCTGTTGCAGATTATTGTTTTCTCCTTGGCCTCCTGGACATTGCCAAAAACACATGTCCTGCAGTTTTGGGGGAGCAGAGCAGAAAAATACGTGTCCTTGATGTTTCAGAGCAGATGAGAGGTGTGGAGGATATGAGAAGCTCCAGAGCTCGGGCCAGTCCTCACTGCACTATTGTGCAGGGAGATTGGTGAGGCCACCATTTCACTGAGTCATTTTTACCTTAAAAAAACCCTTTCCAGCTCTCCCTGGAGGCCGAGCAGCCACTGGGATGCTCTCCTCAGGGAGCAGTTACACGCTCACCCTGTGTGAGGGCAGAGATTTTCCTCCCCTGTCCATGTGCTGTAGGTACAGGCTGAGCATGTACCCCCAGACTGGCCACTCCTTGTGTCTGATCCATCCATCTCTTGCAGATGGAGAACTGGTACCCTTTGGGACCCCCCTTCATCACAGCACTTTGTCTAAGGGAATGTTAGGGGACATGACAGCAAGAAGTGTCTCCTGAACTCTTGGTGTCTCTTAAAGGAGGTTTCCCCTCCTGGAGAAGAGATTTACTCATCACTGGACAACCTGCCTGGCCATGTGGCTGACCCAACACCTCAGACAGGTCGAAGTGATCTTGATGCTTCATCTGAATTGTCCCTCCCTGCCCACCAGTCCACAGGCTGGTTCAGCTGGGGGCTCCTGGAGACTTTTATTCAAATACAAACAGGTATTTATTTATAAATAAAGAAGGATGTAAAACACAGCACAGAGGAAAAGATGAGTCCCGATATTACAGGTGAGTCTTTTCAGGAGCAGAATTAGTATGGTTTAAAAATTTTATTAGTGCTAAACATTATTTACCTTTTCCATATCACCAGGACTTTTCAATCAAGTAATCAACAAAGTTAAGCAAAAAAGTTTCAGTTGCCAACGAAGACACACTTAAAGCAAAACTGGGCATTAGGTTCCTATAAGATGTAGGCAGAGCTCTGCTCCAAACACCTCTTAAGTTGAGGTGATAAAGTCGCTAAAATACCAGTGTTACCACTGGAGACTTTGCAAAACAAAAACCTGATGAATGTGGGGGGTACCAGTGAGGAATACTGCTGGCAGAAAGGCAGTCCTGAGTTTTTTCAAGTGTGCTCATTTCCCCTCCTCAAATACCCTTGCATTGGCACAGGTTGCAAACACTTTCTGATTTCAAACCGCAACCCCAGCCAAAGAGCCCCTGCCAGTGACAGCAAAGAGGGGATACCTGCCTTTATGGAGCTGAGCTGTTGGTTGCTATCAGCTGCTTAGCAGCAGAGGTGTGGCACAGAGGTCATCAATCAGCAGAGCACAGAGAATGTCCTTTTCAGAACCAGAAAACCTCTTGCCAGAGCTGACATACTTCCATCTTAGGACAGGGAAGCAGACAATATTTTTAATTATTCTCAGTAATGCAAGAAAATGTAAACAAACCCTACACTTTTGTATCCCCAATGTAAAGTTTTTTCGGGTTGTTCCTTTGATGAAGCATTTATGCTTACAAAGCTTTTAATAGCACAACTGATTAATTCCAGTGTACAAAAATAACTGTCTAAAAAAAGTATTAAACTGCAGCACAGGATGCCAAGGACCATGTGTATTTTCCACACACTGCTGCCTTTTCTCCAAAAACACCTTCCACATCCAGGGGAACAAGGACATACTTAATTCCAGCTGTAAACTCTGCTGCTTTCCCAGCTGCTCCCTGGCAGGGACCTGAGGGAGGAGTGTCTGGGGGGCTGGGGGAACCCTGAGTGCCCACAAGAATGTGCTCGGTGCCCATGTCCCTGGTCTCTGCCCTGGCTGCCCCAAACCTGAAAGTCTCTACAGCACCAGCTCCAAAGGCGCCGTGTCCCCTGGCAGCAGAGCCAGCCCCAACAAAACCAACCCACCCAGCCTGTCCCCTTCCTCCCCCCCCCCAAGCAAAGCAAATGACCCCACAGCCCACTGGGGGCTGCCCAGCCCAGCCAGTGAGTCCTGCCTGTCACACAGGCTGTTCCCACAGACAGAGCCCTCCCTGCAGGGACAGGGGTGGACACGGGATGTGCGGTGACACTGCAGGGATGGACTCAAACTCAGTGTGCTAAAAAGAGGGACAAAAATAAAACAGGGTAGAGCTGGAGCCTGGAAGTGCCAGTGCTGCCTGCCTAGTTCCTCCTCACCAGGATTTCTGTTTGGACTTCTTCCTTCTCTGTTTTATGAGGAATAAATTCTCACTAACATCAGGAGAAGCGTCCTTCCTTTTTTTCCATTTCTTCTCCCTTTTAGCACCTTCCAGAGGTTCCTGCCCAGCCTTTCTCCCTGAGAATGCCCGGAAAAGAGATTTGTGCCGAGTTTTGCTGCCCTTGCACACCTGCCTTTTCCACCCTCTGGAGAAGTCCTCTTCCAGATTCTGCCCCATTCCAACATGACTTCTGCGTTTCTCTTCTCTGGGTTTCTCTGCCCGGGACATCTTCATCTTTTTGTGGCGCTCACCATCTCTGCTGTGTTTCCTGTGCTCTTTCCAAGGCTTGCTCTTTTTCTTATGGCTGTGCTCCCTGTGTTTTTCTTCCTGCCACGGTGTCTCTGACAGCTCTGGCAGAAGGCCAGCTTCTTGTAATTCTGTAAAACAGAGCAGTTTATTTCAATACCCTCAGAAAATCTAAAACCTCCTGCCCGAACCACCACGGCTTTCCTTACGTATGTATGAAGCTGGCTAGAAAAAAAATAATTATCTGATAGATTTTTTCATCCTGGTTTTTCTTTTCTGTCAACAGACTAGAATCTTAACAAATTACAGTTTAATCCTTTTCCTGCTAGATGATACCATTTTTAATGTCACTGGTTGTTTTTTTTGGAATTAAAACACCTAACAATGCCCACCTGGTGCCTTTGACACAACACATTTCCATGACTGACATGGATGAATAAAGTCACAAATCTTTTACTGCTATTAGACTACCTGTTCAAATCCCCATAGCTTTTCCCAGCACATGAAAATAATCCCACAGTATTTCTCAAAGCTGGTAGCACAGAAGAGAGTATTTCAAAGAGCTGAAAGGCAGGACGGATGTCCCAAAATATACTGTACCTGCAACCTTTTTTTTTAATCTGTTTGCTCTTCTCTTGATATCACATTCATCATCGTAGTAGTAGATGAAAGGAGAAGTTGGGAACATGCTCCCGTGCATCCGCTTTTCTGAGCACTCCTGCAAAACACATTTCAAGTCACTGGAGGTGTCTGAGTTGTAATTTTCCTGGAAGACAAATGGGTCCAGTTCTGCCAGTGCTGGTCGGTACCTGAGGATGTGCCCAGCAATTCTTTAACCCCTGATCATTTTATTACCATCCAATAATCCTGCCTGTACCTGCAGGACAAGGGGCATTACAGGAGCCAGGCTGCAGTCCTCTGGTGGGAAATGGGAGGAATCCCAGACCTTGTAGCCTGGACAGACACGGGAGATCAAGAGAGCACTTGGTGAAGGGAGAAGGAGCTTCTGGGTGTGGGGAGCAGGGCTGTGCTGCCCTGCTCTGCCTCCAGCACCAGCACTGCCTGCTCTCCTCAAAGGACAGACAAGTTTAAAGTCAGGGCAGGTTTTTTTTACCCTGCATTATTTGGGGTGAAAAGAGGTGAAGAAACATGTGGGACTCCAGGGGCGGGTGGAGAGAAGGAGTGAGGGTGGGTGGGAGGCAGAGGCAGCCCCATGGGGTGTGGGAACATGGGCTCTCACCACTGCAGAACAGCAGGAGACTCCAGAGCTGCAGGGCAGAGGAAGAGACCCCCGAGCAGCTGGTTGTGGTGAGGGAGGGGCTGGCTCCTGCACCATGTCAGTGTCAGCCTATGTCCCAAACACTTGGCTCAGGACTGTGGGTTTTTTCACTGCTGTGCACAAAGTTCCAGCAACGTCCTGCGAGCCAGGCTAACTGGAATGCCTCCTGTGACCCTGCCTCTTTTTCAAGGTACCCTGTGGTATTAACTGATGCCTTCTTCTCCTTGTAACTTGCTTGTTAACTGTTGGGCTTTGCAGTATCATGTTCCTGCTTCTTAGGCACTGCCCAGATGAGCTCTGGGCTGTGTCATTCTCAGGAAACTCCTGCTCCCCCTGGTGCCCCCACACACGCGATGCCGTTTTCCTCCCCGTGTTTGTTATTTCTACCCCCCAGCACCCCTCCCCACCACCTCCTCCTGCTTCCTTCCCTCTCTTTTGTAAAGGCACATCAGAGATGCATCTCAGATCTGTCTCCTACGATCTCAGCTTGTGTGTTGTCTGTACTTGGCTGCAGTCCAAGGAAGGACCAGGTTATTCCCAGTGGCAGCATGAGGTTGTGGCTGGTCCTTCTGGACATCCACTGCTCCAACTTCACCCACCCTTTTGGTCATGCCTTCGTAGGAAGATATCAGATTAGTCAAGCAAGGTTTCCCCTTAGTAAATCCATGTTGGCTACTCCTGATAACCCTCTTCCTCTTCTTGCTTAGAGCTGATCTCCAGAATGAGCTGCTCCCTGCACCTCCAGGGATGGAGGTGAGGCTGACTGCTTGTAGTTCCCTGGGTCTTCCTTCTTGCCCTGTTTGAAGCCTGGAGTGACACTGGCTCTCCTTCAGTCCTCAGGCACGTCTCCTGTTCTCCATGATTTTTCAAAAATGATGAAGTGGCTCCCCAACTCCACCAGCCTGCTCTCTCAGCACATGTGGATGCATCCCATCAGGGCCTGTGGATTTGTGTGTGTTCAGTTTATCCAACTGATCTCTAACCCAGCCCTCACTAACCAGTGCAGAGTCTTGCTCCAGTTTTGCTCCCTTGCTTCCAGTGACCTGCCCATGCCACCCTACCCTGTGCTCCTTGCTCCTCCCTGTCTCCCTGTACCCATGGAGCAGCTCAGCAGTGTCCATCCTACTCGTGGCTCTGTCCTTCCCTCCAGGGCAGCTCCAGGTCTGACCTCTCCTGGGACACCAGTGCTGGAGGCATCACAGAGGACCAGGCTCAGGAGGGATCTCCTGGGTCTGGCATCCCAGGAGGGGGACACCAGGCACACCTGCAGGGGCTGGGGGGATCCCCATCCCTGCAAGAGCCCCGAGCAAGGCAGTGGGCTGGCCCCTCATTAACTTCCCTCCCCTCTTACTTTTCTGCTGGGATGCCCCTTAAAATCAGCACATCTTTCTTGTGGGCCACAAGAGACAATGTTTTGGATATGTGGGCTGCTATGAAATGAACTACCCCATGAACTCTACTGAAGAAAGAAAGATTTATTGTCCTCATTAAATCCTGAGCTTACATAAAAGCGTGGCTGCCTCAGAAAGCAGTGCAGCAGATTCAGGAGGCACAGCTGCCATGTGTCAGAGCCCCTGGCAGATTGTGTCTTAACTATTTCCACCTCCACACTGCAAGAAATGATCCTCAATACCCTCCGTATTGGAACTGCACAGTTCACTCTGGGATTTAAGAAATTTTTTTTTCTCTTGACTCTGTATTTGGGAAAGGTATCCCTAGACGTCTGGCAAAGAAAAGGAATTTCAGGTGTTCCTAAACTAGGTAAAATGGTAACATGGAGGGAAATGGAGTGGGAAGCACTGATCATGTTGCCTCTACACCAAATAAACCCCAGCCTTTTCTTCTTGGCCAGTTTATTATTCCTCTACTTTAACTGCTCAAAAAGACAATACAGCAGGAGTCCTGAGGTACAAAAATGGGAAAAATGTTGAGATGCTTGTCATCAGAAGTAATTTTTAGCTGCTTAGAATATTTACATTGGGAAACAAAACAACAACCTCAACAAAAAAAAAAACAAGAAAAATGAACTTTTTCCTCCTGTACACTTTGGGTGTATCTTTTGGGCTCTGGCAGAGCTTCTCACCACACAGACTCAGGGACTGATTCCAACCTCCGACAAAGAGAACCTTCATTGGTCTCCCAAGACAGCTTGACATTAAAAATCCTGTTTATCTTTCAGCTCTGGCATGAGAAGATCCCAGGTAACCTGCCCTACCCACCACTGCCCACAGGGATTACCTCTTCATCTGAAAGCAGCAGCAAGCTTTTGACCACACCTCATACATAGCCAATAGGATTCACACAGCACAGGAGAGAACAGGAAGACGTTTCCTGGGAATTTGCTACCTCTAAACTGTAGGAATCTATAAACTTAGCTCATCCAACACATTACTAGCATTCATTATCTAGAATACTTGTGGCTCCTGGACTTACTCTATAAAATAACTAACATTTGTTGGTATTTCAGGTAGAGAGCTGCACTTGTCAGGACAGGGGCTGAAAAAGTTGATGAGTATCAGCATCAGTCCTAGAAATGCAGCACCCCTCTCATGCTGTCCTCCTTCAGCAGCCCGTGTACCTCACAGGAGGGTCACTCAGATGTTAAATTAAACTAAGAAACTATAAGTAAAGATCATCAAAAGGAGGCAGAAATGGAAAATGCCTAAATTCGGCATTCAAATTTGTGGGCTGATTGTGGTGAAAAACATTGAATGTGGCAGTAAGGTACTAGTATTTCACCCCATGAGGCATGAGGAAGGAAGGAAGGAAGGAAGGAAGGAAAAAAGGAGGCAGAAATGGAAAATGCCTAAATTCGGCATTCAAATTTGTGGGCTGATTGTGGTGAAAAACATTGAATGTGGCAGTAAGGTACTAGTATTTCACCCCATGAGGCATGAGGAAGGAAGGAAGGAAGGAGGTACTAGGAGTGCACCCCATGAGGCATGAGGAAGGAAGGAAGGAAGGAAGGAAGGAAGGAAGGAAGGAAGGCAGGAAGGAAGGCAGGAAGGAAGGCAGGAAGGAAGGCAGGAAGGAAGGCAGGAAGGAAGGCAGGAAGGAAGGCAGGAAGGAAGGAAGGCAGGAAGGCAGGAAGGAAGGCAGGAAGGAAGGCAGGAAGGAAGGCAGGAAGGAAGGCAGGAAGGAAGGCAGGAAGGAAGGCAGGAAGGAAGGAAGGCAGGAAGGAAGGAAGGCAGTAAGGCAGGAAGGAAGGCAGGAAGGAAGGCAGGAAGGAAGGCAGGAAGGAAGGCAGGAAGGAAGGCAGGAAGGAAGGCAGGAAGGAAGGCAGGAAGGAAGGCAGGAAGGAAGGCAGGAAGGAAGGCAGGAAGGAAGGCAGGAAGGAAGGCAGGAAGG